AAAGACTTCAACGATCTGAGTGGTATGATCCTCAAGGTTCCTGACTTGAACAAGGGCGGTGAGTATAGACTGCAACTGTTCCCCAAACTGGTCTTCAGTCAGTGAGGGAACTGTCTCTAGGATGGCCACCTGTTCTTCAGTCAGTGACGGAATACGTTCGTGTGAGTTATAGAATCGCACTCGACTCGTTTGTTCTAGCAGCTGCATCTCTAGGATGCGTGGGTGCAACTATTACAGGCGGTCCGGGGGCTGTGTCCAACAATGATTTCTTAGCTCCTACTTGTTTCAGATACGTGACGGACCCCGAGACGAAACCCATGTTTTCGAAATTCAATTTGTTTTCGAGCGCAACTAACTCTGCATTTGCCCTGCCAGGAAACAAGCGGCGAACTTTCGTTCCATTTCTTCTGGCCCGTCCATAATGTGTTGCATGATGTGGTTGATGGGGGAGAATTGCTTTCGCAATTTAGCTCACATTTCGCGGCTTCTGAATCCGTCGATGAACAGATCTCTCCCCGCCTTCCCGTCCCTTTCAGATTTCATGAACAATCTGTAGAGCCTACTTCGATATTCCGTGACGAACTCAAGGGGTTTCTGAACTCGATCTTTAATCATAAAGAAGGCTTGTTCGAGGTGTATGTAGTCAAATCTGTGCAAAAATCCCTCTCGAAAGTCGGGAGATCAACCCAAGCATAGGTGATGAACCAATGGTGTGCATCCCCTCCTAAGCGTGCGGAGATATTAATCCTGGCCTCATCATTGTCGTATTGTTGTGCACGGAGCGTGGCTAACCATGCTTCGACCAAGTGATGGGCAGGATAAAATAAATACCAATCTGGTGGGGCTGCAGGTGCTTGAACTCAAACGGGCGGCACGGGAATAGGTGCCCCGCCTTGCTGCACATTAGCGTTTAGTGCTTGGTTAGCATTCATGTCGGTTGCCTGTCGACCTGTCGATCTACTCCGAGTTACTATCGGGTCGCGCCTCGACGCATTTCTCTGTCCAGACCGTCCTCGGCTTAGGCTCACTAGGTCAGTCAAATTATAGAGCCGACCCACTTGTCAGCCCTGAGTCTTGACACGTGTCGCCTCCGATACCAACCTCACGCCCAGCGTGACTTCCTATTTTCGGAGTGATAGAGGGGTCGGAAGTGCGTAGTAGGGGTGTGCTAAGGATTTTAGGAAAGTGGGGTGGAGTCACAAGTCGAAACTGAGATCTTCGGTGTCGAGTTTCAGGGATAGAACGCAAGTGGTTTCTGTTCAGGGCCAGGTCTTGGGTTTTGCCTTTTATCAGGGTCGAGCAGCTAATTTCGCGGGCCCCGTCGTGTCGGCGAGCTCGCACCTGGTGCACTGATGGAACACAGTGGGTGTCTCTCTGTTTAAACACATGTCGCCGGTGGGTTTCATAGATCTCTGGGTCCAACGTGGACGGCCTCAGTCGGAGACTGTGTTCTCGGTGCTCAGCTTCGGAGCGAGTCCGTCGCATGAATCCCGCTGCCCGGTAAGTGTTGTACTGGCGACACTCAAAACACGGCCTCCGGGGCCAGTAGTGCGCGATCGAATCCCAGGGAACTACCGTCAGATGGTAATAGGGGAGAAGGAGATAAAATGGAGGGAAGTCGGTTTCGATGGCGACGAACTCCGGTGTAAGATGGTACTGATAATTACGGGGGTCGGGGTAATCTGGGGTTCGTGAATACCTTCCAAGGGTCTGGTGAAAGTCCCAAGCACACAGTTGATCGTCCTCAGTTACACAGGGCTAGGCTGAAAGTCATAAGTTCGACCGATGGAAGAGTTGTTCGTTTTCCCAGTATTTCCTGTACACGGGGATCCACAAACAGGCACGGTCCGTGATCCAGAATGGAATGCCAACATCCATATTTGGCAAGGGGGGCTTAACTCATACATTTGGCCATGCAAGGAGAGGAGGGGCCAGGTCAGAAAGACACACACATACGTGACGACTGTCGTCTGGCGATCACTCGTATACGTGCGTGCACCTGATCTATTCCCACTGAATCCGAATCAACTCAGATAGATCATATGGCCATTCGTGGTCATAAGAAAAGAAGTGAACATTCATTCTTCTGCATCAGACGTCAATTGTGCACAATTCATGCATGGAAAAATCCAACCCGTACCCAGATATATACACAGATCGCAACCTGCCCGTTCTACATGCATCTGCCCCGACCTAGGTTGGTTTGCGGGGGACAGACCGATCACACATCCGATCATCATAAGGACATAGTTATTTTAAAAATGGGCGGAACCATAGGCATGTCTCCAGACATAAGCGAGGCATTCATTTCTGCGCCCTTGCTTCCACAATCAACGATCCTCCATACAATCAAAACGAAGAGGTGGGGAGGGGAAGGAAAAAATGTTTCATACACCAATCGAAGAAAGATAGGAAAGTCCAAAAGTGTCGCAATCAAGAATGGCCGAAGCCAGAAAAATTACACAAACGATGCAAAAAAAATAATTCCCACTTCAACACACCGCCTTCTCTCTCGCTCTTTCTCTCAAAATTCCTTCGATGCGGGTTGTTCGCTGCCTCACACCCATCAACAACCTGAAGTTGTCATCCCGCTTAGTCCAAGTAGGCAAGCCAGGCTCGCCCGTATGCCACAGTCCTTCGCGGCCATACGTCAACCCCGCCTACCCAACACCAGTTCGTCGGATCGCCCAACTCCCTACTCACGTTATCGTCTCCACTGGTTAGTCGATCCTCTCGACCGTGCTAAATCCCAAGTGTAGACTAGAGAGGGAATTAGTCGCGCTTGCGAGCTTTATAGCAGTCGGTAGTTGCGCGAGGTAATTCCGGATTATGCTGAAGCAGGAAGGAGTGAGAAGGAGGGAGTGCCTACGGGTGCATGACGGGGCCGCGGCGTGGGGGACGCACTCAAGCTCCAGTCTCCCACTTCGTGGCCGCAAGTCCATTAGTATGTGTTCGTTGGGCCTTATGGCGACACGATAACAACCATAGCCGTTCTCCACTCATCGATCCAATCATGCATCTGTAGGCCAATGGGATAGGCGGAAAAGAGGCGGAGAGTTTCGCGTGGAAAAAGAAGAGATCGAGAAGGGAGAGGATTACAGTTACACCCGCGCTCGCCAAGAAGAGATTACGGTTGCGATTTAGAATTTAGGTGCGGCGGGAGCAGGGCGTAGAGCAGGACGCAGTAATGCGCGCGCGAGTAGGGAGCCCTGTGCCATTACAGCCAAAAATTACAATGCTCCCAAATTCCTAGCCTAATTAAAATCCTAATTGCAAGAAGAAATTCCAAGAATCTGTGTAGGTTCAAAATTTAAAAAGAAATTCGAGAAACTTCCCCGCGCGGTAACCGCGCCAAAAATTCCCCGCCCAGTTTCGTCGTCAACAAAATAAAAAGAAAGAAAAGACGTTGCATCAACCGTTATTTTCTGCACTCGCTATGGCGCATGGTACCAGCCTTCCCGAAAGAATGGGGGCATTAGTGCAATTGGGCCCGGCCCTTTCTTCTCCATCCTCCAACCTCCCCCTATCTCCCACCTCCTCAGTACTACTGTGCAGAAGATGGCGCCCTTACAGAAAAGAGATCGTCACATCCTGCAGTCCCCACTGCTGCCTGGGGTTTTCGACGAATGGCTTGTGGTGGCCCGTTCTGCAAGGTCTGCACTTGTGGATACCATGTAGAGAACTTGACCCACCTTTGGGTGGATTGTCCAGTAATTGAGGCCTTTTGGACTTGGTGGAGGGAAACTGGGCACCTCTGTGCGGTTTTGGCTGGGGTCTGGACAGTTGATGGTATTCTCATGGGCTCTCTTGGTGCAGATTTTCCTCCACCACTTCCATATGTGCTGGAGGCGACTTAGGGGGCTTTGTTGTGGACCATTTGGAAAGCTCGAAATAAAGTCGTTTGGCGTGTGGATACAATCACGCTTGCTGAACTGCAGCTCCGCGTCATACAAGAGCTTTGATTGTTGATACAGATTGATTGGCGAAGGAAAGTTTTCTCTTCCCCTTCGCCCGGTAAGGGCATTACTTGGTTTCAGAAACATTGGGCAGCTCATCCCTGTTTGGTCAGAGCGGACAGAGTGTCTTCCTGTGTGTTTGGCGCCTTTTGCACCCTGGATAGATACCGTGGTTTGTAGGAGTGTTTTGTAGTTTGCGTGTATCTCCAGTGGATCTGGGTGGGCCTTGTGCACCTGGGTGCTTGGGTGCTGGGCATGTAGCAGTAGATGTGAGGGCAGGGGCTCTGAGCTCCTGGTGGAGCAGGATAACCCCTCTGCCCCTAAGAACAAGAAAAAAAAAAAAAATAAAAAAAAATCGCATGTATTGCCTTGGGCCCTGTCTTGGGATAAAAATGTTCATTTCCAAAAACAAAAAAAAAAAAAGTTGCCTGGCGGAGGGGACCACAGCCGGGGTAAACCACGGTGGCCACGAAGCGCGTTGGCGGTCTGGCGCACGGCAATGGCGGGCTGGCGAAAAGAGAGTCTGAGAGTTTTGCGGCTGCGCAAAGCGAATTGGCGGGGGGGGTTGAGGGAAAAAAAGTTGCCTGGCGGATGGGACCACAGCCGTGGTAAACCGCGAAGCGCATTGGCGGTCTGGCGCACGCCAACGGCGGGCTGGCGAAAAGAGAGTCTGAGAGTTTTGCGGCTGCGCAAAGCGAAGTGGCGGGGGGGTTTGAGGAAAAAACGGGAAAAAAAGGGAAAGCCTGCCGAGTGGCGGGAGCGGTGGGACGCCGCCGTGTGGCAATTCGCAGAATCAGGGGAGTTGTGAGGTGTGATTAGTGACGTGTAGGCAACGTTTTCGCCACCCAGTCGCACAGCAGCCCTCAGCCCTCAGCCCTCAGCCCCCAGCCCCGCCCTTGCCCCTCCCCCTTTCTCCATACTGTCGTGCCTGGGCGCGCGTAATTGCAGCAAAACGACAAAAAGGTCCAAATGGCGCCCTTCCTAAGAGGGGTGATTTTGTGGTCGGTGCGTCGTGCACGAGGACCGGTCGCTAGGCGTCACGGATCGAGGATACCCAGTTACCACGGCATCGTATCGATGGCCGCCCTCGCAGCCTCCGTCTCGTTTCAGCATATCGTGGCGCTGAGCGTGGCCTCAAGCACGCGATCGTCCGCGGGATACGTGGCATTACCCACTGCTGGCTGCATCGCGCGCTCTAGTTCCGGACACGTGGCAGGGACCTGTGCGTCCACGGAGGTATCCCGATGCACGTGCAGGATCACTGGAGGGCATGATTACAGCAGGTCGGGGAGCTGCGCGCCGTCCTCGTCATCGCCGTCGCCGTCGCTTTCGCTGACGGCTGCCCTCTCGCGCACACCTCTTCGCTGCTGTTCCCCGGTGTCGATAAGTGACAGTAGGAGGAGAGGAGGGAGAGGAGGGAGAGGGGTGGGAGGATCGATCACGGACAGGATCGACGGTCGTGGAAGGGCACCATCTAGTCGAGGCATTGAGACACGCGCGGGCTCATCGGACGGGTCGAAGACGGCGGTCATGATGGACGCCTCCGTGGAAGAGAACCCCCTCCTCGCCGACTCGCAGTTTCCTCTCTTCGACAAGATCGAGGCTAAGCATGTGGCTCCGGGAATTCGACAGATCCTGAAGAAGATGGAGGAAGGTTTCCTCGACTTGGAGAAGAAAGTGACACCTACGTGGAGCGGTTTAGTCGATCCACTAGAGAGACTGAACGACCGTCTGGCCGTAAGTTGGGGTGCGGTGAACCATCTGAAGGGAGTGAAGGACTCTGAGGATCTGCGGAAAGCAGTGGAGGAAGTTCAGCCAGAGCAAGTTGCCTTGTCTCTCAAGATTGGGCAAAGCAAACCAGTGTACGAGGCATTCAAAGCTATGCGCGATGGACCGCTCTGGGAGCAAGTGAATGAGGCCCAAAGGCGGATCATTGAGTCTAGCCTCAGGGAGGCAGAACTGACTGGTGTAGCTCTGGAGGGTGAGGCGCGAGAGCGGTTCAATGCAATCGAGCAGGAGCTTGCGCAGCTCTCTCTCCAATTTTCCAACAATGTTCTCGACTCTATAAAGGCCTTTGAGAGGGTGATAACCGACCCCAAGGAAGTGGATGGGTTACCCCCCTCAGCTCTGGGGTTGGCAGCACAGACAGCAGCTGCGAAGGGGTATGAAGGGGCGACGCTAGACGCAGGTCCATGGGTCTTCACGCTGGACATTCCGAGTTATATGCCAGTCATGCAGCACGCGAAGAATCGTGCTCTGCGGGAAGAGTTGTACCGAGCCTATCTGACGAGGGCGTCGAGTGAGGACAAAGATAACACGCCGGTCATCAAGCGAACCCTAGCTTTGCGTAGAGAGAAAGCTGAGCTGCTGGGATTCAAGAATCATGCGGAGGTGAGCCTGTCCATGAAGATGGCGACTTTCGAGAGAGCCGAGGCACTTCTTGAAGAGCTGCGTGTTGCATCATACGATGGAGCAGTCAAAGATCTGGAGGAGCTGAAGGACTTTGCGGCGAAGTCCAATGCAGAGGAAGCGAACGACTTCATGAACTGGGACGTCACTTTCTGGAGCGAACGCCTGCGGGAAGCTAAGTTCGATATCAAGGAGGAAGAGCTGCGGCCGTACTTTTCCTTTCAGGAGGTTTTGAATGGCCTCTTCGCGCTTGCCAAGAACCTGTTTGGGGTTGTCGTCGTGCCCGCTGATGGATTGGCGCCAGTCTGGCATGCTGACGTCAGATTCTTCCGGGTTGAAGATCTACAGGGCGAACCTCTGGCATTCTTTTACCTTGATCCGTACTCGAGACCGGCGGAGAAGAGGGGTGGGGCTTGGATGGATGAGGTCGTTGGGCGCAGCCGATTGCTTGCGCTGCCTAACGAATCGGTTCGGCTCCCCGTTGCTCATGTTGTCTGTAATCAATCTCCTCCGGTTGGTGACAAGCCGAGCTTGATGACATTCCGAGAGGTGGAGACTTTGTTCCACGAGTTTGGACACGCTCTTCAGCACATGCTGACCAAGCAAGATGAAGGTTTGGTGTCAGGAATCAAAGGAATTGAATGGGATGCGGTTGAATTGCCCTCCCAGTTCATGGAGAACTGGTGTTATCACAGGGCAACCTTGCTTGGCATTGCCAAGCATTACGAGACGGGGGAGACACTGCCAGAAAGCATGTTCCAGAAGCTGGTCGCTGCGCGCACGTTCCGAGCTGCAAGCATGATGCTACGACAGATTCACTTCGCGGCAGTGGATCTGGAACTGCACTCCCGGTTCGATCCCGATGGTCCAGAAACTATGTTTGATGTGGACCGTAGGATCGCCAAGAAGACGACAGTAATGCCTCCAATTCCAGAGGACCGTTTTCTGTGCAGCTTCTCGCACATCTTCGCCGGAGGTTACTCTGCAGGCTATTACAGTTACAAGTGGGCCGAGGTTTTGTCAGCGGATGCTTTTTCTGCATTCGAGGAAGTAGGGTTAGACAACGAGGAGGCGGTGAGGGAGACAGGCAAACGCTTCCGTGACACTGTGCTTGGGCTGGGTGGTGGAAGACATCCTCTTGAGGTATTCAAGGACTTCAGGGGAAGGGAGCCATCAACAGAGCCGCTTCTTCGTCACAGTGGCCTCTTGCCGGCTGCTGCTGCTGCTTGAAATACATACACAGCCAGACTGCCGCAGACACTTGAAAAAAACTATGGAAGCTTCGAGGCCTTCCCCCCTTCTCCCCCTCCTTCTTCAGGCTTTATGTAACGTTTTTCGGGAGAGCGTTTCGTTTCCCTAAGTTTTACAGTAATTGCGAGTTCATTTTGAAAACCTGTTGTTGCCATCCACGTGTCGATCTTCGGGAGGAACCTCTTGAAACTACTCTGCCCCCGCCGGTATCATATCCTGACCCAGCCCCAGAGTAGGACAAACCCACTAATTGGCCCCTACCCCCCCAGGAACATACACTTCCTCCAATGTGACGCCCTGTGAAACTACCCTGCCCCCCACCGGAATCATCTCCTGCTGACCCAGCGTTAGAGTAGGTCAAACCCACTAATCTGCCACTACCCCCCCCCCCCCCCCCCCCCCCCCCCACACACACACACACACACACACACACCAGGAACGTACACTTCCTCAAATGTGACACCCTGTTGGAATTACCCTGCCCCCGTTGGAATCATATCTCCTGACCCAGCCCCAAAGTAGGACAGACCACACGAATCCGCCTTTACCGCTCCAGGAATATACCCTTCCCTCCAATGTGACGCCCCCTGCAGAGCAGTGCTCCCACCACCCATCCCTCCCAGTGCTCCCACCTCCCATGCCTCTTATTCCCCTCCATTCACTACGACAGACCCACTTAAACACCTCCCCTCCAGAGCAGACTACCTACCTCTTGACACGACGCTGCCCCTGCTGGAAGTTATTACTGGCCCTAAGTGACAGTCCCAGCTCAGGAGTAGGATAAAACCCAGGTGTCCACCCCTACCCTTCAGGACCCTCCAGTGTGATTCCCCCGCAGGATAGTGCTCCCAACCAAGCCCCAACATGGATCCACTGACCCTGCTACGCCAGGCTGGGGGACTAACACCACATGCGCAGGAGAGATGCAACGTGACTGGACTTGAACCACAACCTCTCCATCGCTACGCCAGAGGTCTGACCAGCTGAGCTACCAGGCTTGTTCTACCCCAACCACTCTTGTTGGAAAGATCTGAGTGTTTGCTGTCTTCCATTGGTTCCGATTCATTCTCCATTTTCTTCTGATTTCAGTTTCAGAGCCATCAAATCTGTGCAAGATGAGAATTCAGGGGCTGCTCTCGTCGTCCTTGGAGTTGTCTCTTGCCAACTGATATTCCGTACAAAAAGAACAAGAAAAAGACACAGTTTTTTAAACCACCACTACCTGGGAGGGCCTCCTTTTTTTCCCAAAGTGGTGACCACAATAGACTTGGATTTTTGGACTCTTGTTAAGGAAAGCTGGCCCATTTTCCAGCAGGTGCAGCTCCCGACCTATGAGAGTGGAGTCGTCACAAGCAGGAGGCCCACAAGCAGGAGTGGCCACTCTCGGAGGAGGATCATATCCCCTCCAAGATTTGGGGCTCGGCTGCTGTTTTAACTTGAAAAAAAAAAGAGAAAAAAAGCTTGGATTTTGACTGGCTAAAACTGGTACAGTACCAGGCCTCATTAGGCTCGGTTCGTCAGGTCTGGAGTGCTAGTGGTTTAATTGCTGTCTCTGCCACATCCTTACAGTTTGTTCCACTTCTTCCTCACATACATGTGTTTACCTTTCCGTTGAGATTGCCCTATATAACTGCTAACCTTCCTGCTTGTTGCATAGGGCCTTGCCACAGCACTGTCCAAACGAAAAATGAACGAATGCATCTTCCCGTGGAGAAGGGCAAGATGCATCTGTTGCTATGAATAGCAATGGATGCATCTTACTACTTTCTGCCGCAGATGCATTTGTTCTGTTGTTGTTTTGACAGTGGTGTGGCGAGGCCCATAGTTGCTGTGAAGCTCATGCTCTGTGGTTCATCTTGTCCCATGCCGGACTCCATGAGCCTTTGGAAAAGAACAACAAAAAACAGGATTGCTCCTCAGATCCAGGACCACTGGATGGCCTGTCCTGACGAGAATCATCCCCAGAGTGCCGCAGGCTTGGGGTGGATACGGACATGAATACGTGCTCGGTGGTGTGTCTGTTTTTTTTTTTTTTTTTGTATATATTTTATTTTCACATATCATTGTTGAACTGATTGGCCCCAGGTAATTCAGAATTGTTTTGTTCTCGCCATGTGATTATGTCTGGATTCGAACTGGGGTCTGTATTTTGACAGTTTGTGGTGTACCGACTGAGCTAGGCTCGTTGGTATGTTGGTAATTTTGGGTCCTGAGGTGGCCCAAAGCGGCATTGTAAGTCAGCAAGTCCATAGCAGGAAGGCAGCTGTGTTCGAACTTCAAAATAATTAAGAAAGGGTGACAGACTTGAGATATCATCAATTGAACTGACCAGGCCCTTTCTGGGTTGTGCCGTGGAGGCATCTCCTCCTTGGCCTGATCAGCGTTTCCAAGATTGTTATGGACTGTCCGTTCGTAATGGGGTATGGATACACGTGGTCGGCCTTCTGCCCAAGTTCTCTTCTCCCAGCCTCCAAATTCCTCAAAATTTCCCGGTTATAGTACCCTTGTTTGTTATATTGCATGTTGATCTCATGTGTCCTACACAGACTTCCTAGCAAGACCCGATGGTTTCTTCCCTGCTTTGTTGATCTTTTTGTGTGTTAAGGAATGCCATCAGGTCCTTCCGGGCGCACACCATGTTGCCTCTTATCGAGTCTTCAATGGTATGTTATTTGCCCCTGGGCAAGGAGGAAACATAAATTAAGAAATGATTCAAATAATCCATCTCAAAGAAAAAAAAGGGAAAATTTCAAAATTTGCGAAATATGTCCCGAAGTTCACATATCCCTCTCTGCCTACGATTTACCGGGCAGCTCTGTTGACGATATATGCTAAAATATGCCGTAAAAGATGCGGGTAGAGTGGAATACCCCTTTGAAATTTCAAAAGTTTGTGAAATGCCCTTTTGGATATAAAATTATAAATCTTTAAATATCCCCTTGTCCCGGGGTTGTACAAGTTTGCATGCTGCCCCTGATAAGCGTATAGCACAAACTTGGCAACCGCCTGATTTAAATCCAAAAGGGCATTTTACAAACTTTTGAAATTTCAGAAGGACATTCACTCTACCTAGTACCCACATCGTTTAGGGGTATTTTAGCATATACGTGAACTTTCAGGCTATTATGAACCCCCCCCCAAAAAAAACATGAAAAACAAAAAAGAAGAAATACTTCACAAGCTTTTGTGTATGAAATCCAGAGATGCACATGCCACCCCTCCACATGTATCAGATAACTCAACAAAACAGACAAATCACAATTAACGAAGCTGAACTACATTGTACTCTGTATTGACTTTATCGAGTATGCCTCATGCTTCTCTGTTGTTTCATCTAGCTACATGGCACCATGTTCAAATTGAATTTCAATTTATTGAATGTAACGCACCATGTTCAAATTGAATTTCAATTTATTGAATGTAACATGACAAGAATGACATTGTTGGGAACATAACAATTCGGGACAGTCTCCAGGACAGGAACAGACAGATTTCAAGAGGGACTACTGCATCTCCTTCAGAGAATGGACTAAAGTGGACCAGGGCGTGCCGTTGCGATCGCCTGCAGATTTCCCGGACCCGTTCCCCCCCCCATCAACTTTCCCTGGTGGATATGCAGTGGTACGGTGTAGAATAGATCGCAGAGAGACATAGGGGCCATTATGGAAGAGGCACCAGCGAGACCAACAGAAGCCAATGATTGCTCTAGAGACACATGCAGTAACTGACAGCCCACAGCTGAGAGGAGCAACCAGGGACAGAATGGGCTTACAAAAGCCACACAGAAATAGCTTAGCTGGAACAGGCTAACTTAGGCAGGGGTGAGGGGTGGTATATCCTTCCCGACGGAAGCAATCAATGCCGCTCACTCGGGCCTCTCAACCTTAATGGGGAGGAGTGTGGAGTGGGTTATTCTTGTACTCTTCATTGACTTGCCGGGGGAATAGGAACCGGACTGTTGCTCCCCAGAATGGCAGGAGCCAGAACCGAGAGGTTCCGATTTAAAAAAAAAACAAAAACATAACAATGCGACATGTATTCAATGTATTCAATGAATGTTAGCGACATTGAATACATTGAATACATGTATTCAATGTCGCTAACATTCATTGAATACATTGAATACATTGAATATATGTATTGAATGCATTCAATGAGGACTGGTACTTGAGAACATAACCAATTGCTTCCTGGTTCCTATTACTCTAAGAAGAATTTGACGTACAGCAATCATATCAAAATGAAATGAATGTTGTGTATTTGACCAATGACAATCAAATCAAATAAATAACTCGTCAGTGACAGGAGTTGTCTCGAGTGATTCTTGTTGCTATTGAAGGGAAAATAAATAGACATAAAGATAGTAGGACGAACACCAGTTACTCTCGTTGTCCACCATAAGGGACTTCGCTATTGCTAGCTATACGACCAGTGCTTTTACCAGCTATTGCTACAGTGCCACAATGGTTCCTCGAATGAATTTGTCCTTGCGCCGCAGGCCCATACATCCCCTCCATAAACGCACCACACTTCGGGGAAGTACTGGTCATTTAGCCTGGAAACCAGTTTTTTTTGTCTTTTCTATTAACCACCAATATACCTCTCCCAGCCGTTTTCTTGTGACGTGTTCGTATACAATGGCTATTTTGGAGATTTCAGACTGTAAGATTTCTTTGGCTGGTGGCACCAGCCAAAAAGAGAAACAAAACTTGCACGGGGCCGACTAGTGTTTTTTTTTTTTTTTTTTTTTGCCACGCAGCACGGATCAGCCTCCGAGTCGGCAAAAAGAGGCCCAGACGTAGTGGTGGTTTAATAACCTGAAGGTCTCATCTGTGCACTGCCTTGTTTTTTTTTGTTTTTTTTTTTGTGATGCATGTCTGGCCCTTGTCTCATGCTCTATCGACCTGCCATGACTGTTGTTTTCCTTTTTTTTTTTCTTTTTTTTCACAAAAGTTGAAAAACATCTTATTGCAAATCTGGACTGCCCGGTCAATCCACGGATGTGCGGCAGACTTTTGGTCAGCAGGAGTCTCAGGCTTGAGAGATGAATGTGCTCAACAGCACACTCCATGGCTTGCCTTCCTTCCTTTTCCTCTCTGCGTCTGTGTTTGTGCCCGTTGAATGTTTTGCCTGTCTGTTTTCCCCCTCTTTCCCCTAGCCGATTCTGCAACCATTTCTATTGTTCTCCTTTGCTCTGCCTCTCCGCATTCTCTGTCTTCCCTTGCCGCTCTTTTTTGCCTCCGTCCCACACAGCCCCTCTGACTCGGGAAGCGAAAACTCCCAGCAGCTTGATTGGCATGCTGAAGACTTGGCGCCAGAAGAAGCTGATGAATCCTCCTCCAGAGATTGTGCACTTGGGAATGCCTATTCTCAATGAGGGCTGGGTGACCTAGAAAAGGAGATGGACGCACACCC